GTGTTTTGCTTTACTGCACCACATTCTGAAGTGGTGCAGTTGTCAGCATCTCTGCCAAAACTTGATGGACAAGGAAGGTGTATTAATAATGTGTGCAAACAGAGTGATTACTAAACTGTAAATCCTAACAACATATATCCAACGACATGCACTGAGAGCCAAATAGATTGCTCGTCAGTGCTGTAATGAAAAGAACAGGAAGCCTCTACCAGTGTTTCATGCCACACACACCTGGAAACCTTGGTGTGGAGTACGGCAGTGAAATAGATGGTTGATTCAGCCTGAAGGGCCAATGTGGACCAGATTGATGTGAGGGTTCAATCCCAGAGTCAGCTGAAGAGGATTTCAGACGTTCATGCCCTAATTGTGGCTGAGGCCCTGGCGCTGCATGCCTAACCTGCCTTTGGCAGAGAATTGAAGGAGAAGAAAAGCAACACACACGGTGGTTGTACTTCAAGATCTAATGTGTCATTCCAGCTTACTTTTCTCCCTGCTGTGTATGCACTCAATCTTCAATTTAGATTCAATATCGTCCCTCTGTTATGAAGTTAATTTGCTAGATTAGATCAGGGCATATTCATACAATTACACAGAATATGCAGCAACACAATCAACACCAGTCTATCCCTTCATTTATGGTCTACCCAATATCCTCTCTCAGCTAAATCTAACAGTCAAACTAACTGCATCTGCCTCCCTCATATACTTATCCATGTTTCCACTAAATGCATCCAAACCATTCACCTCAACCACTACCTATAATATTGAATTTCAGGTTCTCACTCCGCTGAGTAAAGAGGTCTCCCCTGAATTCCCTACTGAATTTGTCATTGGTAACTATCTTATATTGATGGCCTCTAGCTTTGTTCTCCAACACAATAGAAAAACATCAGTTTTGCACCAATCATCTGGCACTATACCTCCTAGTTAAATAAAAAGAATGCATATTGTTACTACTGCTATTTCTTTGGATTCTTTTTAAAATTAGTTTGTGCAAAAAGCACATCTAACACACTACATGATTTCCACTGAATCAAGTGTAAAATTATGAAGATCTGATTTGGACGACCGACCTGAATCTACGATGGCAGGTTAGGTGAAAATCAAAGTTGAGTTTATCAGCTTGAAAAAAGTTTTCCTCCATCCCCTTCACTGTTTGCAATTCTTCAAAGTTTAATGTTGCATCTAAATGTGTGAGAAAATATAAACTTACTTTGAACAAAGTGAAATGCTTGTTCAATGAAAGTGAGGCTGAATTATGGTCATTGGTTTGGATAATCGCCTGATCCATGGCAAGTTGAAACCATTGCAAATGATGCAGATTCCACAAACACGGAAGAAGTTTGAAGTCTCTTTGAACTTGCAAACTGCAGCTGTTGCTTTATTCCTGACCTCACTATGTTTTCTGACTCCTCTGCTTTGACAAAGAGACCAACAAGTGTGCGTGAACTAAATCACACAAATAGACTACACACAACAACAGTGTTGGAAAGTTGCACAAAAGCCTATTTTAATTTTTAGAAACGTATCCACTTCATTGTGGATAAGGTCAGAAATCACACAACACCAGGTTTTGGTCCAATAGGTTTATTTGAAAACACAACCTTTCGGAGCCTCATTCCTTCTTCAGGTGTTAGTAAGAGAGGTAGTATCAGACAAGAATTTATAAGTGAAAGTTCAAAGAATCACACCATTGATGAGGATATATTAAACAAACCTAAGATGCTCTTAAATCTTTAATCAGTTAGAAGGTTTTAATTGATTAATATGTATATGTAAATCCCTGAATTCCTTTCAAGTCACCTAACAAACATTGTCTGACCTAAAATGTCACCCCTTCTTAGGTTTGTTTAATACAACCTCATCACTGGTGTGACCTTTTGATCCTTCACTTATAAATTCTGCGTCTGATACTACCTCTCTCACTAAGACCTGAAGGAGGAGTGAGGCTCCGAAAGCTTGTGTTTTCAAATAAACCTTTTGGACTGGTGTCGTGCGATTTCTGACCTTGTTCACCCCAGTCCAACACTGGCACCTCCATTTCATTGTGGACGCCAGACCAGTTGTCTTAGTTGCAGTGTTTGTGCAGAAAGATAAGACAGGCAACTCATCATTCATTCCAATGTCAAGAAAATCACTAATGTCTGTTGAACAATATTTTTTTAGAAGCAAACAGAGAATAATACCTTTCATTACATGCCATACATATGCTTCCACATCTATTTTTCTGAAAGTGAGTTTAGCGTGAAAACCAACCACAGACTTCCATACATAAAGCAAACTATCTACATGAACAGGTAATCAGACACTCAAACTACAAGAAGGCCAGTTTCATTTTGAGCATTAGCAAGGCAAACTCAACCCAGCAGATGACCTTTAATGACATCTGCTGCTGACAGTCGCATTATTAGTCATAAATAAAAGGGTGCCCAAACAACTTCTTAACCACATCAGTGAAAATCCAGTGCCATAACAAAATAAGGCATTGCAACTTTGCATGAAGGCTATGGAATCAGATAACCTGAAAATACTTGATCAAAACAGTTCCTACAAATAAAATTGTTCACTATTCACTATGTTCAAAGTGAAGTCACTAGTACAACTACATCTGACCTCATATTACAGATTGTCACCATTCCATAATCATTAAGGGAATATCTTGCAGCTCTAACATATAATGTTCATCACTGAGTTCTCAAAACAAAAAACTCTTTCGGAAAGAAGCTATGGTTCCTAGGGATTGGCAGCATGTTAGAGCACAACACCAGTCAGTCGTTGCCATGTCAAGTAACCACAATGCCAAATTTTCACGATCCTCTCAACATGCTTAAATTACCTCCAGGACAATGGACTGAAGTTAACGCTGATTTCCCAGATTTGTGCACTAGTGAACATCTGCTTAATGTCACTGCCAACTACACAAATTTTCAGTCACAGGAATAGTTAGCATTAATGCCAAAATTCGATCAGATATTTTTTTGTTGAGCTCCTCAAACAGAGAGAGCAAACGGTGCAGCAATGAGTTCAGTAAATTTGTTAACTGTCAGGGCTTTACTCCTTGAGAAATGATAGCCTTCGATAGCCAATAGTTGATGGAGAAGAGTTATGTGCAATTTGAAAAATGTTTTGTGCCCAGCTGAAGCAGACAGCAAGTCACAGAATCAAAAGCTATGTCATTTTTTTTCCACAATTAGTGTACTACTCTGCAGTCAACTAGTGGTAAGTCTCTACATTCAACCACATGCATTTTCCTGAGCTACTCATACAGTCATACAGCATGGAAACAGGCCATTCAGTCCAACTCGTCCATGCTGACCAGTTTTCCAAACTAAACTAGTCCCATTTGCCTGTGTTTGGCCCATTTCCCTTTAAGTGTTCTCTATTCATGTACCTGCCCAACCGTCTTTTAAATGTTGTAAATGTACCTGCAGCTTATTCCAAATACGCACTACCAGCTGTGTGATAATATTGCCCCTCAGCTCCCTTTTAAATTTTTCTCCTCTCACCTTAAACCTATGTCTCTAATTTTGATCTTCTCTACCTGAGGGAAAAGACCTTTGCTATTCGCCTTACCTATGTCTCCCATGATTTTATAAACCTCAATAAGGTCACCCCTCAGCCTCCTATGCCCGAGGAGACCCAGTTTTTCCAGTCTTTCTTGTTCATAGAGAAGGGTGGCCAGAATTATACATGATACTCCAATGTCCTGTACAGCTGCAGCATGATGTTCCAAATCCTATATTCAATGTTTTGACTGATGAAGGTAAGCATGCTAAACACCTTCTTCACTATCTTGTCTACCTGTGACGTCACTTTCAAGGAACTATATACCTGCACCTCTAGGCCTCTCTGTTCGACAACACTCTCCATGGCTTTACCATTAACTGTGCAAGTCCTGACCTGGTTTGTCTGACCAAAATGCAACACGTCACATTTATCTAAATTAAACTCCATCTGCCACTCTTTGGCCCATTGGCCCAGTTGATAAAGATCCTATTGTACTCTTAGATAACCTTCTTCATGTCTACTATACCACCAATTTCGGTGTTATCCACAAACTTTCTAAATCATGTTTCCTATATTCTTACCCTAGTCATTTATATAAATGACAAACCACAGAGGATCAGCACTGATCCCTTCAGAACTCTAGGTCACAGGCCTCCAGTCCGAACTCCAGAGCTAATAATCAACTTGCATGTGAACATGATCAAACACAGAATAATTTAAGGAGTAAATACAAAAGGAAATTTGAAATTGAGATTTACATGGTTAGCCAGTCGTTGAAGTGTTTCTACAATATGATGGTCATGCTGGAAAGCAAATAATTTCCTATAATAGCCAGGCATTTCTTGTGACTAACCCAACACGATCAAAAACATCTGTTAAGCATGTTTCACAAATCACAGAAAGTACATCGTTCTTCAAAGCACTGAAAACACTATGAGCAAGCATTGAATTTGATTTCAATATCAACATCTCAGAGGAAGATCATAAGTTAAATGATGATACATCTGATGTCAACCAATAACCCCACTTGTGAGATAAAACATCCACTATACTAAACTGATTATGTTCCAACATAAACTATTTTCAGATGGAGAAGAAATCTTTCATCTCATAGCACATGACTATGGGTACATTGTTAAATTAATACTGAAGTTAGAATATGTAACAATGCTAACGGTGAAATTAAATGTTCATCTTAGGTTTGCTTATTGTTTGCACTTTAGAAAGTAAACTGCAGAAAACATGAAGCCTTCATTTATTAAAAGTAGAAAGGAAATGGTAAAGTGAAAATCTAAATAGAGAATAAAGGAATCTGTTTTAATTTGCTGTTACGATTCTGAATGCTCCTATTTAAATCTTATCATAACTTCCTAAGAACTTCACAATTTCTAAGGTAATTCATGACAAAGTACGTTGTTTGTTTCAATTGAAGCAAGTTCACTGCCTCAGGAGTAATATATGTATACCTATACTAAGGAAAACAAATTTCTGGAAACTTATACAGGATTTTAATAGGTAGCACAGTTTTTTTCAAGCCAGTTAAGATCATCATTGAGCAGGAATAATAGCCATGAAATAAAAAATGGATTTTAAAATACTTTGGGGAAAACAAATACTAATTCCACTTTCCTGATTGCATACATCACTTTTGATCATTGGCATACCTTTGCTTGCACTTTCTATGTGGTTAACTTCATCTGTGAATTTCAAAATTTCTGGATATTTCTCTTCAGTAATCTCTGCTAAAAAGTGCATCAATGTTGCCTTCTGGTCAATCGACTTGGTATCTTTAAGCTGCAAAAGGAAATGTCAAGATGTTTAGAAAACAATGCAGATGAGATTGTTTTAACATTTATTCGTTTTGTTAACATTTAATTGCAATTACTCTTATTTCCATTTTATTTTATTCCATCATTTTCTACAGTGCTGGCAGGCAATCTGCTCCTTGGCCCTGCCAATGCAACTCTTCAGCAACTGTGTGGAACAGCATGAAGTGACTCGTTCTCTGATTTAATCCCATGCAAAACAAATACCAGAGTATGAAGTGTACCAACTTCAAAAGGTGTAACTATTTCGATGGTGTCCATACACTAGAACTTATATATAATTTTCAGAACTTACAAACCTATGCCTTAAAACATTGGAGCACCCTTGTGTTGCTCTAACCCATGTCAAATAGTGTCCAATTTGCAGTCAATTATGATGAAAACAACAAAACAGCTCCTACATGTCTTAGCCTTACAAAGAAGCACACCCAATGTTCCAACTGATAATGAAAGGAATGTTCTTTTTTTTCTTATTTTCTGCCTTTTCCATAAAGTTTGAAGTATTGCTCTAAAATCACCTTCAAGTGACAATATTTCATCTATGAGCCTATATAACAAGGCATGTTGAAATAATTGAGTAATGCCATCTCAGTTTAAACTAAGGTTAAGATAACTTAGCTCTGATCAGATTAAAACAGCCTGGGATTTTCAGGTATGAGTAGTTCCATTTCGTATAACACACTATTAATTTCTTATCAATCAAAAGAGCTCTGCCAGCAACATTCATTTTAGAAAACATAACATACGTATATGTTCTCTTCATTTAATCAACAACATATTTTCAAAACATTGTTCCAAAGTAGCAGAATGCATTGATTTAGCTCATCGTTAAGTACTGCATCCATTTGCATGGAATATCTGTGTTTACTGACTCATGCTGATATGTTAACCACACCACATTGGAGAAGCAACAATTAGTTTGTCAGAACCATCTTGATTGAGGATATTATAAGCTCTCGCGTTATTACACTGGCTTTTCCCTTCCTTTATTTGCAGCTGTTCTTCTAAAATGCATTCATCATTATTGTTATTATTTTTCTTGCCCTTGATCAAGTTATTTCGATTACTTTTTCTCTTGACTTTTACACATTTACCTTTCAGTGGATTTCTTCATTTGAAAAATTGCAGTTTCATTGACAAATTCTTTCACTTTCTTTTAATGCCCATTGACTATTTTTTTGTTTGACTGAATCTTAGCTTCAGCCACAGGTTCTTTTTCTAAATTACTTTTGTTTCCTTACTGAGCTTTTCGATCCCACTTGTCTCTCAGAGAGTCAAAACACAATCAAAATTCAACCAACACCGAGGTCTCATCTGTCATGAAACTTGTTTTAGTAGCATATTCTGCCAGTTACATTTACAGACAGATTATGTCCAAATTAATGAAAAAATAATAAAAAGTAAACTAACTGGAATGGTTACATTTCCAATAAAAAACATATGCAATATCAGATGTCAACTAAATAATTATTTCTAGCTAATTAATTGTGCATCCTAATATCTTTATCATTTTAAGCTTCTGCATCTATAGCTGTCTACACCAATAAGCTACATGCTTAGATACCGAAAATGAACTAAACTTCTACAAGCCAAAAAAAATGAATTAAAAGAATCGATATAAAGACCATATTCAGTTTTAAGAACTTAACCTTTGCCAAAATTCTGTCCATAATAACTCAGTATCTGACAGTGTGTTGGTGTAATGGTGAGGTCACCAAATTTGTTATTCAAAGTCGAGGGACAAAAGTTCGAATCCCACAATTGCTGAATGATGAATTTAAATTCCATTAACATTTTAAAAATAAACATTTGAAAGCTAATTTTAGTAATGACAGTTGTTTAAAAAAAAACTGGGGCACTAAGGTCCTTTTGGGTTGAAAATCTGCCATCAGTTGCTCAATAATACCGAACTTGAAAAATTTGCTAAAGAGAAAGGCTTCTTACTAATGACTAAGACAAAATGTTTCAAGAACACTTGATTCCAAATGATCACTACATCTTATATTATGAGAAAGGCATATGTTGATTTGTTGGCAAGTTAACTCGCCAATCAGTACGTTTTTCTCCTCTAATATAAGATGTGGTGATGATTTGAAGTTTGCCATTTTTGCTTTCATCCTGGTGTTTGTGAGATGAAAACTTCAGCCACATATTTTTCTTCTTATGTGACTCCAAACACACAACAATATGGTTGATTCTTAGTCACTCCCAAGTGTAATTAGGGATGGGCAACAATTGTTGCATTGTCAATAATGCCCACATTCATTGAACGAGTGAAAACAACTGTAAATAATCCAATTTGTATCACTAACTAATAAGGATGACAGACACAGTTCAAGTTTCATATTCAATTACATTTTAATGCCGATTAACATTTAGCTTCTCTTCAATTCAGTTATCTAATGAAACAGATTATTATTTGTTGTCTGTCTATTCTGAAAGGCAACATCTCCAATAAGTGAAGTATCTGGCCATCCCTTTTGGAACAATGCAAACATTTCAGAACATTATCGACTGAAACACCATGCTCCACATCATGAAAGAATAATGCAGCCATGTAATCTGGAGTAAATCTTTTCATAACTCCTTTGATCACTACTTTTGTCTCTGAAGGTGAGAAGAAGCAGTATTTTCAGTTCTATTAGTCCACCACACCTCAGAAACTAGCAAGTGAATTTCAAAAAAAAAAAACTGGGCACCCAAATTGGATGTTGCCCAAGTAAGCACTGGTCAATTTTTGGCAAAGATGTGTTTTTAGATTTTGCAACATTTTAAAGGATCCAATAAGATTGGGAGATGAGGCAAACTGACTTTTTGTGAATAATGCTGTGAGTTGTTCTTCTATTATTGTTGATCGTTGTGTTGTGAATTTTCTTATTTGGTGTGATGGATTTTTTGCAGCTGCCAAAAGGTGACCAAAGTCTTCAGAGCAGGTTGTTGTACATTGATCTGCCTGAAGCCTCCTAAGTCAGGTGAAAACTCTTAATAATATTAATTTTATCCCCCAATTTTATAGTTGGAAAGCTTCAACAAACAGGCAAAAGCCTCAAGCAAGAGCTGTGTAATTGTAAAAAAAAGTCTGGATTAACACAACATGGCAGAGATGTGCATTATACTCAACACACTTTTCAACGGACTAGGTATTATCTTCTTTTTCTGTGAATAATAGGCTTTCAATCAGTTATTTGCTATTAGCTCTATAACATTAAACATTCTTGCAAAATATTTTTATATGTAACCATATCAAATGTCTCTGAAAATTCAAATAAAGATCAGGACAAATTTTATGGATTTATACTTTTGCTACAAAGTGTTGTAAATTGAGAGCGTTGTTGAACAATTGGGTTGAAGGGACCTGAAGTCCCACAAGATTTATCATTCATTAAATGAAGGATAGAAAATCTAGTTTCACCAGCTGACCTTCATACCTACTATTCCAAAGCAATCTTGCCATGTGATGATCAGCACATGGACTAGGGAATTTGTAAAATATTTGCACAAGATAAACCTCTTGCACTATTTTCAATGTCTTATCAAATGTGCTGTCTCTACTTCTATAACCATGTTGATTATTTTTCAAGATTTCTATAGTTTTGAAGAAGCATCAAAATTGCTTAATTAATTTTGTTATGAATATTGGCCTTCAGCACAGTTTTTTTTTAAACAACTCAATTTAATTTTTTTTGGTTATTTTTAAACACCTTATTCAGGTGAGTTTTACTTTCTCATTGGAATGTGGCTCCTCCAGACTCGGCATTTTGCGTCACATGTACTCTTACTCAAACTACGAGGAAGCAAACTTTGCTGCAAACCTTTCATCACAGGACCACTGAAACTTCCAGAGACCATATGCTTAATCTCCAAACTCTGCTTCCTACTTCACACATTGCTTCCAGCTACAGTAGCATTCACGTGAAAATTCTCAGGCATTCCGTGTACACCTACTTTTGTTTTCTGAAGAACAAGAGGTTTATCAATCTTTGCTGCATTTGGTTGCCATCAATGTATCTCTCACACTGTGCCAATCCTCATTCAGATCTCATTTCCATGATCAATATGTACTATGCTAACCATATATGGTTTCCATCATTACATACTTTGGACACATCCATATATACTAACACTTCCTTAATATCATCAGTTGGAACATGATCGAAACAACTCCCATCTCATTACAATATGGATAGTTGGGTAGCTCAATGGATTCACATGTTATTAATTGATTTGTTATTTTAAGAGAGATTAAAATAGTGAGAGAAAGCAAAATATTACTCGGTTCCCACTAATATCATCAGGTTATTTCAAGTTTTGAGACTTTTTTTTTTTTACTGATAATGAAAATAAGTTGAAGCAACAGTCAGTAATCAAATTTAACTGCTAATGGATCACTACTTGTGCAGAGTATGAATGCTGTATGATTATTCAATTGTCTCTATAATTAGGATATACGTGTCACATATGAAGTACATTGTTGGCACTGAAATGAAGTCCCTTTTTGAATTTTGGACAAGGTCGCACAATTCTCCTGCCTAACTCATTTAAAGGACATCAACACACAATTCTCTCCTATCACCATCCAGCTTGGAAAAAAATTGCAGACTTAACAGGATCCTCTCATTCTGAGTTATAGAGTTGATTTGTTTAAGCACAATGTTTCAGCTACTAGCTACAATTTCTGTACATCGACTAAGTTCACTGGACTGGATAGATTCATCTACTTGAAGCAGGCAGAATAAAGGGTTCTGAGGAAGGGTCACTAGACCCAAAATGTTAACTCTGATTTATCCTCACAGATGCTGCCAAGCCTGCTGAGCCTTTACAGCAATTTCTGTTTTTGTTTATAATGGAGTCCCTCAAGACTATTCTATTTAGCTAGCCTGTGTGTAGATGCTTAAAAATATCCCTTGAAGGTGGAGAACACAACAGGCAAGTTGGTGCCCTTGTGTGCCAATCCACCCTTACTCATGA